TTTGTTTTAATGGGCTGTTAGGGGAGCATCTATTCAGCAGCTGGCTGGTTAGACACAGGACTCAGTAACTTAGGAAACACTACTGAGCCTTTTTCTTTCTAATTTTTCTCATAGGCATAACAAAGCAGTGAAGAGAAACTGAAGGAAGTATTACATGTCTTGCTGATCAGGAAGCTGTTTCTGAATTATTTGGACAAACTACATACATATGTAGTAAAATCTAAAAAGGTAGGATATCTTCCTTTTCTGTTTTATTTAGAAAACCTCATAACTAATGAAAAACTTTCATGAGTCCCGGTGGGGTTACGAAAGTAGTTTTGTATGCTAACGAGGAATGCAAAGTCTAAAACATTTTCTTTAAGTGAGTTCTGTGGAGTCTTGCCAAATTCTACTAGGCTTTTCATGATAGGATTTTGGTGAGGGCAGGTTGCCTGTTAGTTCTTCAAAAAACTTCCAAATCCATCTAAAGGGTACTCAGTTTTATAAAATGGACCCTGTAGGAGAAGACGGTAGCTCCTCATGATTTCAGGGTTAGCTGCTATTTTGGCTCCCAAATATTAAGTATTTCTCTAGACATGTGGAGATTTCATGCTGTTCCCTCTGGAATGGAAGTCTATAGTGAGTAGAGAATCTTAACCTTTTTTTTTCAGTATGAAAACACATTAAGTGATGTGCAGTTCATAAATACAAAATCTGCTGGCTGAAAGTACCAGTACAGCTGTTGTCTGCAAAGACACTGTTTTGTAAGTTTGTTAGGCATTATGTAAAAGGTATTAAAGTGGAAAGCAAACATTTGCATTTGAACTTTTATGATGTTTCTGCTTCAGGTAGAATTCAAGTAAATAGAAACTATATGTTTCACAGTGGCTGATAGAACTATGTTCAATAACAGAGTTCAGAACAAGCGTGGCTCACATATCTGCTAAAGTCTTTGCTTTCAAAATTCAGAGAATCTTGATACAAAATTGGGCTTCTGACATCCAGCAGCACAATCCTCAAATTCTTAAAGTCTCCAAAGTATGTAAGTGTTTGCATTCTCACCTGTAAAGTTCTGTATTCATGTTAAGTTGTCCATATTTCTAGAATTGCTTCCAGGCCTTTTTGTGGATCTAGCCATATGGATTCAGGACAAAGATTGCTTTATTTCTCTGTGTTGTTTTAATAGGTTGAAACTGTGTGGAGAGCATGGGTTATGATACTGAACGTTTCGTTGGCTACGTTAACGAAGGGCTATTATGCTCCATCTGCCGCGATGTGTTAGAAGATCCATTACAGGCTCCTTGTGAACACGCTTTCTGTACTGCTTGTATACACGGATGGCTTGTTCATCACAGTAACTGCCCTGAAGACAGACAAATGATTGACGTATCTTTGCTACGACCTCTCTACAGGTATACAATAATCTTGCTGTATGTTGAAATTACATGAATTTAGGATTTCTCACCTTTGCTTGCACAGCTTCATCTCTTCTCATTTTCTGTCACTCAAATTGCTTTAACTCAATATGCCTATGGCAGAAACTGATCACTTGCATGAAAGCATTAGCATTTTCTATTTATTATAACTAACTTCTGAGGTATTAACATTTCAAAATGGAAATAGCAGTTTGTTCTCCACATGCTGATTCTAGATATCTGTCTGGATATTACTCTGAATGTCTTCTACAGCACCAAAACTTTCTCATCCTTTTTTAGAGAAAGCAGGCAAAGCAAGTCTTGACAACAACAGTCACTAAACACTATATCTTTTGTTTTTCTTTTCAGTCTTACCTAGATACTGTAGTGGGGTTTGTAATTAATAATTCCTGTAGATATGAACCAAACTTCTCACCTTCCAATCCTTTTTTAAAACAGTCTTTACCCACAAGAATACCTGTTTTGAGCCACCTTGTCATGTAAAGCAGACTGTTTTCACAAGTGTCTTCCATAATTGGTCAGGCAGTTGGACTAGATGATCATTGTAGGTCCTTTCCAACTGAACTATTCTCTTCTATGCATTCCTGCTATTGCCAGCACACTTAGAGTTTCATCAGTAGACACTGCTTGCTGTTTAACCGCTGCGCTGTCTAATCTTGCTCAGATTAACAGTTATGTTGTGTTTAAAACCTTCAGCCACAGGTGTTAAATTAACTCCATTAGTACTCTCAGTATTTTTGTCACTAAGGAGATTTTACTGTATGGAAAATTGAAGTATAGTGTAGACAGGGCCCTAGAGTTTAATTTATAGATTGTTTTGTCTGTACTCACTGTAGTCAGTTTGATTTGGCATGGTTAGAAACACAAACTAAAACTTAAATGATCAATGAGTAGCCTAAGTGTTTGTTATTGGTAATATCTGCTGAGCTAGTGAAAGATTTATTCAAATTCAAAGTTAAAAATTTATTCAGAAATAAAGAATTCATTGGCGTATTTAATTTTGGAGACTGAATTTTCCTCTAACATTTTTTCTTTTAAGCCTGTTTTTTTCCAATACGGTCACTTGAATTCTAATAAAAAAGAATTAAACTGATTATTCACGAGTTTTCCTAATGGAAATTAGAATCTTACTTTCTTTTCCCAAAAGTTGAAAATGCAAATTTTTCAATAATGTTTTCCAATTTTTAATTTTTTTTTTTTTGCACATAGATATATGAGAAATGATTTAAACCGTCTTCAGCTACATTGCAAAAACAGAGAGTATGGCTGTGAAATGGTTTGTTCACTGGAGTCTATAGACAGGCACGAAAGAGAGTGCGAATACAGTCAGATCGCTTGCTCCAATGCCGGTGAGTAACATTCAAAGAAGTTGAATCCTTTATATTCAGAAAACATGTGTTTGTCATCTTTCTGTCAACAGAATGGCAATAATGGCCATTATTTCCAAACAGAAATTCAAAGCTTTAGCATGATCTACTCTTTACAGCAGTCTTTTTGAACAAAATTTGTTACCAATTTATGGCAATCAATCATGATCATTAGCAACAATTTCTTATCCAAGAACTAAGCAAAATGAGAATGATGGACTTCAAATTTATGAAAATATAATAGTGCATTTGCTTTGCTTTCTGTCAAGTTATGAGTTTGTATTTCAATTTTGACTGTTCGTTTTGATGTTTGTAATAGCACCTACAGAACGCTTAGGGGTCACAATTTATTTAGAAAACAGCTGGTTGCCTGGTGCATGTGCAGCTGCTCACTGTTTCATGGTTTTAATAAAAATGCGCCTTGGAAATGAGAATTGTTTTAAGCTAAATTCTGGTTAGAATTGTTGTGTTCATGTTAAGATCTTTATTTAAAACAAACCTACACCTCCTGAGGAAGAAACGTAACTGCTAAAGAGAAACATACTGTTAAAACTTCCCGGTAGCTTTTATTCAAAATGTCATATGTTCCTAGACAAAGTTAATTTCTAATTAATGATGCTAAGGGCATAGTCAAGTCTGCCATTGTAAGCTAAATAAGCTAATTGTAATTAATTACTATTGTAATTAATAGTAAGAAGATTCAGGTGCTAGAATTGCTCCACTGGAAGTTATTTCTCTCAGCAGTAAGTGACTCCTGCAGCTTCTTCAGATTCACCTGTTTTACTTTCTACAGAAACAGTAGCATTTATAGAGTTACCACACCTTACCTCTGATACCTGGCGTTCAGGGTGTGAGGGCTTTTACATCTCTTGAACTCTTTCTCAAGAATACATCGGAGTGTATTTTGAGTACCTCAATTACAAATCATTCTGTTTATTAGTAAAGCTCTCCTAGAGGGCTGTCTTTTGTCATTTTCTGGTGTGATTTGTTGGCAAGTTTCATTGCTCCATTGTTTCAGTTTTCTCACATCGAGTTTATCTTCAAATTAAATGCAAGGAGCTATAGTATGTATTACAGCAAACAGCGCCTCAAAGATTAAAAGTTAAGACTACAAACCTCAAGTTTAGAGTGTAAAATGTAGCAATAATTTATATATATAGTGTTCATTTTTGGTTCTCTACAATTTACTTTAAATCACTACAGATTTGTAAAGTTTGTATCCTAGAACTTATGTGGAAACATTTCTATTTTTGCATCAGTTATTAAATGTTCATAAATAAATATTCTTGTTTATTTATGTGGTCTAGTATGTTACACACAAGACCAACCAATGGTCAGGAAAACAAGGTTTTATTCCATCTCACCCACATCTCTCTTACTATGCGTCTTTGGACCTTTTTTCCTGAATTTGATAACCTGATTTTTTTTTTTTTTTTTTACACATGTGCATTCTTCTTCAATTTCAGTCACTGCAATCTGTGGTGGAAGTGCAGGCAAGCTGCTAGAGTCTTAGCTTGGCATCAGTGTTGTCATTACTGAAGATGCTTTAATGCCAGACCAGTGGTAGAAGACTACAGAAAACACCTACTTTCAGTTTTTCAGTATTTTCAGTTAATTGATAAATATTTTAATAAGGCTTTTGAAAAGTGTTTTATTACTAGTTATGTATGTTATAACTATCACATTTCACGTTCTAAAGAACTTTTTTCATTGCTTTGACAGACTGACAGTTGCTTAGCTCAGGATATTGCAGCTTGCTTGCTTGAGTGTTTTTGTTTGGACTTTAATTAAAATGCTTTTGTTAGTTGTAAATGACTGACTTACCTTACTGTTCCCTGTTCAGGTTGTACAGTTCAGATTGAACGACGTAACTTAGATGGTCACCTGGCAGTGTGTGAATATCGGAGCCGTGAATGCCCCAACGGTTGTGGTTACACCATTCTCAGTGCAGAAGACACACAGCATAATTGCGTAGCAGAGCTAAGAACCGAGCTAGAACTCCTTCGGTACAAATCCTCTGTTTCTTTGATGTTTGTGTTAGTCTGGGCCTTAAAATCCCTGCATAAAGCACTTCAAATACTAGCACTGGATTCCGGTATGTGTTAAATAGTCTGTTAATTACTTGATACTAATGGGCCAGAGTATTATTATGTGTCAGCATAGACTTTAAATTCTTACTGTTTTGATTTTTTTGCTGTTATTTTTTTGTCCAAGTTGTCATAAATCCTAAAATTCCATCGCTTGCAGTTGAACTGCAAGCTGACTATATAAAATGACAAAATACCTAACAAGAACTGGAATGAAGTTGGCAATTTCACTTTTCCATTGGGCTGACATAGACCCAAAATCACATTATTTAATAATTATGTTTAGTTTATTTTTTTTTTTTTACAAATCCTGAAGATAAAAAATCTCTAATTATTTTGGCAGGTACAGACTGGTAGATTAAACCTCTGAGGATCTAATTTTCAATTTTTATTAAAATCCTGGCAGATTAATAACAGTTGGTGAATATGACTCTTCTTACCGGCATCCTCTTTTTCCTCTTATGTTTGTTTCTGTAGCTTTCCCTTTCCATGGTGTTCCAGTTGGACCGTTTTTTTCCGTGCTCCTTCCCGTTTCTGTCTTTCAACTCAGTGTCTAAGTCTTGTGGTGTTGAACGTTGCTGTGAAGTCAGGCTCAAATCTGTTTTAAATGCATTGAGACACGAGATTCTGCTACCTAGTTTCTGAACTCAAAAGGCTAACGTAGTAACAGCTAGGTTTTGGCTGTGAATCTGTGTGAGTGATTAGGTTATAATAATTTACTGCATACTATCATTTAGTGTCCACCATAAAAGGACATGTTTAGCAATACAATAGTATTCACGCTTTTTATCTTGACTACCTGTGCTTAGTAATATTAAGCAAGCACATACTATAAGTAAAAGGCAGTAAATCATTTAAAGTCATGAATACGTGATCTTGAGCTCACAGAATTATTTCAGGAATATGATACAGTTTTTCCCTATACAGGCTGTCCGTGGTCACTTTAGTGCCCCCTGGACACAATGCACTTCTTTATGCTAGTTTTATTTAAATTAATGAATAGTACTATCATGCCTCTAGAGAGGTGTCCTGTAGAGTATGATGGGAATCGGATTGGGCTGTTTGGCTGCAAGCAGGCTTTCTGGAATTTGAAAATCGTTTTTTTCCATGCTACAAGACCTAACAAGGAGGAATAAACTTTTTAGGTCAGAAATGATCTGCAGAGTGGAGGAGGCAAAACATGAGATGGAGTCAAGGTTAGATTCACAGAGAAGGCATATGGTCCAAAAAGAGAGCATTCTGCAAAATGAAATTGAAGAACTAAAGGTAAATATGATTGTTTTTATTTTCTTTTTTTTCCCTCTCCTAACAGTCTAGCTTTTTGCTTTTCCCAGTAGTAGTCTCTTATTTTGTAAATGTAGTCTCATACAGATGAGAATTACATTAAGTATGGGAAGCAAAACAGGTGTTAGCGCCATGCTTTGCCTAGGCTTACCAGCTCTGTTGAGAAGCAGGCTAAGTGCTGTATTCGTGTGGTTTTTCTGCTTCAAATTCTTCTGGAGCTAACCTGTACCAGGGCTGCATTGTTCTGTGCGTACGTAACATGTCGGCAAATTAGTCTGAAACTCATTTTCAGTGTCTAAACATAGGGCATACATCACAAATCAGATGTAATTAAATATCCAGCTCTTTTTTTAGTGCTGTCCAAAGTGGCTTAATCCAGTGCTGACACAGAGCAGACAGTGGTATTTACACTGTGGTTCAGCTCTGGTCAAAAGGTTGGAAAGTTGCACTGTGAACTTAGTCAAGTAGCGAGCAAGGCCGTCTTGTCTCTTCATTTATCCAGTTCTTACTATATCACAGAAATTTATGTGCTTTATAGTTTACGTTTTTATTTTTACTGGATTTGATGTTAAATCCTTGAAGAATATATCTGAACATAACCAAAACCTTATTTTTGTTGGGGTCTTGAAATACAAAATTTAAGCAGCAGCTGGATAAATCCACTGTTTCTTGTTATACTTTATAAGAAACTTTTTGCACTTTTAGGAAAACTGTATTGGAATCTTTGAAACAAGACTATCTCAGAGGGTGAATGCTGGATTGTGTCTCAAGTTGTTTACATTTGTTCCGCTATCAAAAAGTTATTTCAGCGTGGCTTATTCTTTATAATCTGTCACCCTATATGCATGGCCAATTCAACGTCATACCACCATCATTAGAAAAGAGTTTGTTTCTTGCAGTAAATTTGTATTTGCATTTCAGAGTCAGATGTCACGAATGATGTCAGATGTACGCTCTCTGATGGCTGCAGAGAGACAGCACCGTCAAGAACTGGAGCAGGCAGAGCTGGAAAAACGGGAATTAATGGAGCTGCTGAGGGGGCTGCAGAAGGACTGCCGATTAACTACTACAGAAGGAAGCAGGAAGTCAACAAATTTCCGCCCTCTAGCACGACTAGAGAGTGTAAAACGAAAACCGAGGGAAGTTACAGTTATCTAAACAGAAGTAAGCTCAAAAAGCATTTTCTTCTAATTCCTGTGACCGTCTGGCAAACTTTTCTACTTTCTATGAATGATGGGTAAAGTGTATATCATTTCTGATTTACTTGCTTTCTTTTTAAATCTAGATTACTACTTTATTTCTTCTTGGGCCATAAAAACAAATGGGGGAATTTTCTCTTAGGGAACACTGGGCATTAAAACCAGTAATTGGCAAATACCTTTTTAGCTAATGTTTTTATAAAAAGGGGGAAGGAGACTTGATTTGTTATCTCTTCAGTGCATCATTACAGGAGTCTTTCAAGCCTGAAAGCTAGAGCCTTTTAAAGTCAAAGATACTCAAAGGTTGTTTCCTTCCTGGTCCATTATAGTCCGTTTAAGTCTAGTTTACGCTTATACTTGAAACAGAAAGAAAATGTGATCATCAGTAATGACATTTGGGATGTACTTAATTTTGGGAAAAGTCAGTAATATAATTAGTAAGTCAGTAATAGAAATTAATAGATTTTGTTTGTTTATGGTCTGTAGGAGGGCTATTTCAGAGGTGAAAAGAAAGCACTTTAAATTGTAATTCTACTGCTATGTAAGAGCTTCAGGTGAGGTTGACTTTTACGTTAGAGCTTCTTTAGTTTCCCAGGCTGATAGGCATTGAAGAGACTAATACCAAAGCCCAAGGTCATCTAAAACCTTTTAAATAGATGTGTGAGTAACTTGGAGTTTGTGGGGGAGGGATCTGCATTTTATTTAAAAATGTGAAGCTTTTATATGTGATGAAAGTATCAACTATTTCTACAGGGTCCTCTAAGCTTAAGACCAGCCCATTCGGTACTCAATATCTTTAAAGCATATGTAAATACCTTGAGTATCCTTAATTTTCTTTTGGCAGGTTTAAGGCTACTTGAACATTAATATCCACAACAGACGAATATTTGCACAGTCACTTGGACTTCGGACGCCTTTATTAGTACTCAAGTTTGCAACGGTGTAAGAGCTAGGATTTTTTAACAGACCCACAAATACTGAGCCCCAGGGGCATTTATCTGTAAGGACTGCATGAGAAATCTGTACAGCTGAAAGACTTTTCTCTAAACTTCTCACACAGCCTGTTCATGTTGTTTTCAGTGCTGTAACTAAGCCATATTCTGTCCTCTGTTGCAGCTCTTCAGTGGAGTAACTAGGGGAGAACCTGTCTTCCTGTTCACTGAATGTGCTAAATCAGTTTTGAACTTTCAGGAAAATGTGTGCAGGTGCAAAAATCTGAATAAGCTAATTTTGTAGTTTAGAAAGCAACTACCTTACAGTGCATGCCTTGCTGTCACTCAGAGCAATGCTTTTATGGCTAACAGCATAACCAAAGAGAGAGGCAGCAACCTTCTTTAGCACATACGCTACGTTATGAAGACCTGCGGTCAGAGCTGTCTTAATTTCAGGCATTAATAAATGCCTTCAGTACCGCTGAAGCAGATGTGCACATGTTCAGGGCTTGTGCATTTAAAAACTGACAGAAATAACTCTTCTGTAAAAGTTGGTTGGTTGGGGTTTTTTTCTGAAAGAAAACATTCGTAGGAAGATTTATGTCCAAATATTTACTTGTTTTCAGTCCTTATATTCTAGATTAAATTACAATCATTGACAGTATTTAGGTCACTATAGCAGTCTCACCAACTCATGACATAGCACGTCTCTTAAGCAGCCATATTTAACAATCTGAAACAGTGAAACAGTAGCTATAATTTGGGAAGACCTTCATTCACACTAAACATTCGGTGGTCAACTCACGTACATCAGTGTGCGTATTAAAGCTGTAGGTAGAAAGTAAGAATGCTTTTATTATCCTGTGTTCTAAATAAGGAAGCTGTTAGTGTCTGTGGTCTGTGTCTATTTCAGCATTCACACTAATTTTGAAGCTTCTTGGCAACGCCAGATTTCATGCTATTAGAATCAATATATTTTCAGGATGTGCTTTTCTGTGTGCTGTAACTGCGTGGTTCTGTGATGTGACTTTATCTACTTTGCTTAACGTGAAAGAAGAAAATTCCTTCAAAATCCTATAGAACTTAGATGGGCTGGATCATCTTTCCCAAGTTGGAGGGCAGTAATGATCACCCAATCTTTTCTGTTCTGACCATGGAAAAAAAGCAAGTTATTAGCTCTGTGCTTTCTCCATAATGGGATCTCTGCATTTGTTTGTTTTAGGAATTTCACCCACTTATTTATGACTAAATTCCTTCTAGTATAGGAAATGGGGTTTATTTTATATTTACTTAGCATTTGGTCTGCTGTCTGTCCCCTAAGTGACAGACATGAAACTGCGTGAGAAAACGCGTCCTGGGTGGTAAGGAAGGACTTTCTGCTGCGCAACCTATGTAGCTTCTAGCTGGCAGCTCTGGAGAGTCTGAACTTCCAGTGTTGAAATGTGGCAACGCTTTGGGCCCGCCTGCTGCTGGAATGACCTGCCAGCTTGGGTTTCCTTTAGCAGCGAAGCAGCACTTGCAGAGGCATTTTAAATGGGCACCTACTAGCTAACAGCATCGGATCCCTCCAGGTACTTTAAGCTTAATCCTGTTCCTCAGTGTTGGTAACTGTTCTGCACTTAAGATTTTCCTTTGCTAATGAACCACTCACAGGGTGGCGTATGCTTAAGTATGGTCATCATTTTACCTGTCTTAAAATTAACTAGGCTGAAATTAAATAGCCCATTATGTTAATATTTTATCTAGTTTTAGCTTTTCCAGTCTCATGCATTACACAGCTCTTAATAACAGCTGGCAGAAGCAAGGAATTTTTTTTCTTTCTTTCAAATAGCCTGTTCATCCTTTTTATAAAAACTAAGGGTCCAAATATTGTAATAGACTTGGTGTAAGAGAAGACAATCACTTGGAAATGCTACTTCCCTAGTCACGATCATATCTTGGGATTATATGAGAGATACCGCTAAAAGTGCGTTACGGGAGGGTTCCAGCACTGAATTACTGGTATTAGTATTCTCATAGTAAATCACACTTCGATCAATTCCATTTCCTCACAGGTGGAACTGTGCTGAGTGCAAGTTGAACGGTTACTCAGGTGGACCAGTAACCGTGCAAGCAGTTGTTGTATTTTTAGTTGCTTCTACTAGCACTTTGCAGCTAGAAAAGGGAGAGCAAAGACTGTGGGGCAGGG